AATATAGGAAGAGGGGAGTAAAAGAGTAGAGCTATTAGCAAGAGGTCAAACTTAAGAAACCATAAACTTAATATAGATTGCTGTTTATTTAGGTTATTATATATGAACCTCATGGAATCACAAACCAGAAACTTATAATAAATACACAAAAAAATTAAGAGAAAGGAACCCAAATATAATGCTAAAGAAAGCCATCAAGCCAGAAGGGAAGAGAGCAAGAGAAGAGGAAAGGAACAGAGAAGAACTACGAAAGCACCCAGAAAAAAGGTAACAAAATGGCAATAAGTACATACTTATCAATAGCTACTTTAAATGTCAATGGATTAAATGCTCCAATCAAAATACATAGGGTGGCTGACTGGATTAAAAAACAAGACCCATATACATATATATACTGCATCCAAGAGACACACTTCAGACACACTTCAGACACCTAAAGACACTCACAAACGGAAAGTGAAGAGATGGCAAAAGACACTCCATGCAAATTGCAATGAAAAGAAAGCTGGGGTAGCAATACTTACATTAGACAAAATAGACTTTAAAACAAAACTGTAACAAGAGACAAGGAAGGTCACTATATAATGATAAAGGGAACAATTCAACAAGAGGATATGACACTTGTAAATATCTATGCAGCCAACATAGGTACACCTAGATATGTAAAGCAATTGTTAGCAGACATAAAAGAAGAAATAGACAGTAACACAATAATAGTAGGAGACGTTAACGCTGCACTCACACCAATGGATAGATCATACAAACAGAAGATCAATAAGGAAACATTGGCTTTACATGACACATTAGACCAGATGGACTTAGAAGATATATACAGAACATTCCATCCGAAACCCACAGAATACACATTCTTTTCGAATGCACATAGAACATTCTCCAAAATAGATCACAAAATAGACCACAGAACAAGTCTCAATAAATTTAAGAAGATTGAAATAATACCAAGCATCTTTTCTGAACACAACAGTATGAAACTAGAAATAAACTATAGGAATAAAACTGGAAAAGCCACAAATATGAAGAGATTAAACAAAATGTTACTGTTAGGTCAATGAGGAAATCAAAGGAGAAATCAAAAAATACCTGGAGACAAATGAAAATGAAAATACAACATACCAAAATTTATGGGATACAGCAAAAACAATTCTAAGAGGAAAGTTTATAGCAACATAGGCCTACTTCAACAAAAAAGAAAAATCTCAAATGAACAATCTAACAGTGCACCTAAAGGAACTAGAAAAAAGGAAGAATAAAGGAAGCCCCAAATCAGTAGAAGGAAGGAAATAATAAAATCAGAGCAGAAATAAATAAAATAGAGACCAAAAAAATAATAGAAAAACAATCAGTGACACTAAGAGCTGGTTCTTTGAAAAGATAAATAAAATTGACAAACCTTTAGCTAGACTCACCAAGAAAAAAAGAGAGAAGTCAGAAACAAAAGAGGAGAAATTACAATGGACACCTCAGAAATACAAAAGATTATAAGAGAATACTATGAAAAGCTATACACCAACAAATTGGATAATCTAGAAGAAATGGATAAATTCTTAGAATCATACAACCTTCCAAAACTGAATCAATAAGAAATAGAGAATTTGAATAGACCAATCACGAGTAAGGAGATCAAAACAGTAATCAAAAACCTCCCCAAAAATAAAAGTCCAGGACCAGACGGCTTCCCTGGTGAATTCTACCAAACATTCAAAGAAGATGTAATACCTTTCCTTCTCAAACTCTTCCAAAAAATTGAAGAGGCGTGGAAGCATCCTAACTCATTCTATGAGGCCAACATTACCCTGATATCAAAACCAGAGAAAGACAACACAAAAAAAAAGAAAGTTATAGGCTGATATCACTGATGAACATCTATGCAAAAATCCTCAACAAAATACTAGCAAATCAAATACAACAATACGTCAAAAAAATCACGCACCATGATCAAGTGGGATTTATTCCAAGGATGCAGGGATGGTTCAACATCTGCAAATCAATCAACATGATTCACCACGTTAACAAAATGAAGAATAAAAATCACGTGATCATCTCAATAGATGCAGAGAAAGCATTTGACAAGATACAGCATCCATTATGATAAAAACTCTGAATAAAATGGGTATAGAAGGAAAGTACCTCAACAAAGTAAAGGCCATATATGACAAAACCACAGCTAATATCATACTCAATGGAGAAAAACTGAAAGCCATCCCTTTAAGAACAAGAACCAGACAAGGATGCCCACTTTCACCACTCTTACTTCACATAGTATTGGAAGTCCTAGCCAGAGCAATCAGGCAAGAAAAAGAAATAAAAGGAATCCAAATTGGAAAGTAAGAAGTGAAACTGTCACTATTTGCAGATGACATCATTTTACATATAGAAAACTCTAAAGAATCAACCAAAAAAACTCTTAGAAATAATAAATGAGTACAGTAAAGTTGCAGGATACAAAATCAACATACAAAAATCAGTTGTGTTTCTATACACTAACAATGAAGTAGCAGAAAGAGAGATTAAGAATACAATCCCGTTTATGACTATAACAAAAAGAATAAAATACCTGGGAATAAATTTAACCAAAGAGGTGAAAGACCTGTAGCCTGAAAACTATAAAACATTGATGAAAGAAATTGAAGAAGACACAAAGAAATGGAAAAACATTCCATGCTCTGGGATTGGAAGAATTAATATAGTTAAAATGTCCATACTTCCTAAAGCAATCTACAGATTCAATGCAATCCCTATCAAAGTTCAAACAACATTTTTCACAGAAATAGAAGAAAGAATCCTAAAATTTATATGGAACAACAGAAGATGCCAAATAGCCAAAGGATTCCTGAGAAAAAAAATACCAAAGCTGGAGCTATCACACTCCCTGATTTCAAAATGTACCACAAAGCCATAGTAGCCAAAACAGCATGGTTCTGGCACAAAAACAGACACACAGATCAATGAAGCAGAATCAAGAGCCCAGAAATGAAGCAACGTGTCTACGGACAGCTAATTTTTGACAAGGGAGCCAAGAACATACAATGGAGAAAGGAGAGTCTCTTCAATAAATGGTGTTGGGGAAACTGGACAGCCATGTGCAAAAGAATGAAAGTAGACCATTGTCTTCCACCATACACAAAAATTAACTCAAAATGGATTAAAGATTTGAATGTAAGACTGGAAACCATAAAATTTCTAGAAGAAAACAGGCAATATGCTCTTCAACATCAGTCTTAGCAGCATATTTTCAAATACCATGTCTGACCAGGTAAGGGAAGCAAAAGAAAAAATAAACAAATAGGACTACAGCAAACTAGAAATCTTCTGCATAGCAAAGGAAACCATTAACAAAACCAAAAGACAACCTAACAATTGAGAGAATATATTTGCAAACCATATGTCTGATAAGGGGTTAATATCCAAAATATATGAAGAACTCATACATCTCAACAACAACAACAAAAACAACCCAATTGAAAAATGGGCAAAAGATCTGAACAGACATCTTTCCAAAAAAGATATACAGGCTGCCAACAGGCAAACGAAAAGATACTCAACATCACTAATTATTAGAAAAATGCAAATCAAAACTACAATGAGGTATCACCTCACTCCTGTCATAATGGGTGTAGTTAACAAGACAAGAAATAACAAGTGTTGGAAAGGATGTGGAGAAAAGGGAACTCTCATACACTGCTGGTGGGAATGCAAACTGGTGCAGCCACTGTGGAAAACGTTATAGAGATTGCTCAAAAAATTAAGAATAGAACTACTGTGTGATCCAGCTATTCCACTACTGGGTATTTATCCAAAAACCATGAAAACATGAATGCATAAAGATAGATTCACCCCTGTGTTCATTGCAGCATTATTCACAATAGCCAAGACTTGGAAACAACCTAAGTGCCCATCAAGGGACAGATGGATAAAGAAGATGTGGTATGTATACACAATGGAATACTATTCAGCCATAAAAAAGACAAAATCTTGCCATTTGCAGCAACATGAATGGACCTTGAGGGTATTATACTAAGTGAAATAAGTCAAACAGAGAAAGTAAAATATCATATGATCTCACTTGTAAATAGAAGTTAAAAACAACAACAACAACAAACAGATAGACACAGAGATTAGATTAGCGGACACTAGAGGGGAAAGGGGGAGGCAGGAGAGCGAAAGGGGTAACTGGGCACATACATGTGATGATGAATGATAGTCTCTGGGTGGTGAACATGATGTAGTCAACACAGAAATCAAAATATAATGATGCACACATGAAATTTATATAATACTATAAACCAATGTTACCTCAATAAAGTAATTAATTAATTAAATTTTAAAAAAGAATAGTGACATCTGTATTAGTTGCTCAGGCTGCAGTGACAAAGTGCCACAGAATGAGTGGCTTAAACAGCAGAAATTTATTTTCTCGCAGTTCTGGAGGCTGGAGGTCTGAGATCAAGACGCCGGCAGCGTTGGTTTCTACTGAGTCCCCTCTCCTTGACTTGTAGATGGCCGTCTTCTCCCTGCGTCTTCACATCGTCTTCCTTCTGTACACATCTGTGTCCAAATGTCCTTTTCTTATAAGGACAGCAGTTACACTGGAGTGGAGCCCACCCTAATGACCTCATTTTAGCTTAATTTCTTCTTTAAAGGCCCTATCTCCAAATACAGTCCCATCCTGAGGTGCTGGGGTTCGGACTTGAACATGGGAATTTGGAGGGACACAATTCAGCCCATGATAACATCTAAAAAGATGTGCTCCAATGTCTTATCTCATCATAAAGCTTGGTGTTTCCCATATAATTCCTCAATGAGTCTTCATTCTAAGGGGAAATTATGTTATTTTCATCTGACTTTCTCCTTGGGTAATTAGAAAGTTATCTTAGAGCCAAAAATATTAAGGTAATTAACACAATTGACTTTTAAGCAATATTAAAACACAGAACATTCTTGTCTTCATTGTGTAGGAACTTTTTACCTTGCATTCTTAGGCTTTGCTTCTGGAGTTGAAGGGGCGCAGCACCTGCCCGTTTACCACCCTAGAGCTCGTTGATTGCAAGATGGATCCGTGGTCTCTCGGGAGACTTGGGGAGGCTCTGCAGTTCAGCAGTTTGCACTCTCTTGTCCTGGATTACTGCAAGTAAGGCTGGAATGTGAATCCTGCAGGGCTGTTAACTTCCGTCAGCTGGAGGAGGCAGAGACAGGGGAGGGCAATGTCCTGGTTCCTTGTGCCTCATCAAGTCACTGCTGAAAAGGGAATTCTAGTGCATCCTTAGAGTTAATGTTCCTGAGTAAATGTTGGGGTTCTCAAAAAGGGTCTCTATTCATTCATTTATTCTTTCAACAAATATTTGTTGAAGGCCAATTTGTGCGAGACACTGTGATCATTGCTAAGGAAGATACAGATATATATAAGGCAATGCCGCTGACCAAGGGAGTCCGGGGGATAGTAGAGGAGAAGACATGCTCCTGACTATGTATAATGCAAAGTAGAAAGCCTGAATATCACAGAAGATGTCCATATACATTTTAGTGGTAGTTTGGATAACGGAAAGCACAATTCCTGAGGTGATGGGTCAATATCCACCAGGAGAGGATGTGGGAGGAAAGGTGATGCTAGGGAAGAGCCAAGTGAGTCCTTTAGAGGGCGGGGACACCACCATGTCAGGGCAGGGTGAGAGGGTACTGATGATAATAATACCAGCTAATGGTTATTGAGTGCTTACTGTGTGCCAAGCACAGTACATGGATTATCTCATTTATTCTCCCAAAAAGAGATAGATATGTACCGTGACATATAGATGTATGATAGATATGTACCATTTCTACCCTTAGACTATGGATGAGAAAAGACTCAGGGGATTAATTGGCTTATTCAAGGCCATTCAGCTCTTAGGGATGGAACCTAGAAGTGAATCAGAGCCCACCTCTGATCCATGACACTAGATTACTGGGGTCTATAATTTACCATCCATGGACAATTTCAAACTGCTTGTGTGATCTGGGTAAGTCATGCAGCCGCTCTGATCTATAATGAGATGATCTCCTCCACTTCACTAGTCTATGCTTCTGTGACGATCCCCATGTAGCCAGGTGGTACCCTGTACTCAAAAGGCCAGTGAGCTGTGAGGTGACAGAGATGATTCAAGCCTGAGAAGTGGCACCACAGAGACTCAAAGTCCCTCCCAAGGAACAAGGGTCTTATTAGGGCTCTGGTTGTGACACTGGACGAGTCTGTCAGCAAAAGCTGGGGAGAGGGAGTTCTCTGTGGAGGTTCTCTAGGTTTCTAAAATGCTGAGAGGAGCCTTAGGCAAGGTCTCCTAATGCAAGGCAACTTGCCGGCTTCCCGCACTGCACAGGGCAGAACCAGCCCCACTGCTCTGAGAACCCTCAAGACCCCAGCCCTTGGGCTGGACCCAGAGACCTGCCCTAGTGGAAAGAGAAAGAAAGAAAGAAAGAATTGCCACCTTCAGGAAACAGCTTGTTTTAATTGTCAGTTGAAATCCCGCTGCTGCTAAGACACCCAGAGTTGTCAGGGCTGGGTAGCTGGGAATCACACCTGAGACGTCAACACTAGTGAAATCGCAGGGTCCCGGTCCCCGGGGATGGAGTTCTTTCCCCACTGTCTTCCCAGATAGGCTGTGAAGGCAGCATGTGCTTTTTTCTCAGGCACCGCTACATTCCCACAATCAGTGCGGTAGCTGGCCCTCAATAATTACTTGTTAAGTGAATTAATAGATTTTAAAAGTTATTTCTGTTAATACTACTCACCTCATTTTAAAGTTCAAGCCTTGATGTTCCACATTCCCTGAAGATGTCCTCTTACCTCCCCCATGCTCAGTTCCCTCACCTAATACCTTCCCGGAGGCTGTGGCTGGCATCAATGAGCCGATGCTTGTGGTTCCACTTTGCAAACTCTAAGGGCTGTGCCATGCAAGGCGAGAAGCAGCACCAGCCTTGAAAGGAGGGTGGGAGGTTGAACTTTCCTGAGCCTGCTTTGGACACACTTTAATGGGCCCCTCCTCGCAGAGACCTCCCAGGCTCCTTCGTCCCTGCCAGCCAGTTCACCTGTCTTCAGGAGTCAGAGCTTGCTCTCCGTCCGCTCCCTCGAATGGGCGCTTCAACCTGCCCTCTGCTCTCTTTGCCCAGGAGGCAGACTCCGGGTGCCCCTTCCTCCACACGCAGGCTGCCCCCAACAGCCCACCCAGCCCACCCCCACAGCCTGCCCCGGCCCAGGCAGCCCACGCTGGTGATCAGCAGATGTGCCTCCACCTGCCCTGCAGAGGGCTTTCAAATCAGTAAGCCAGTGGGTGACACAGCTTTTAAAAGTCACTAATTTGTGCCTGTCCTTTCTTTTTAGCTTTGGAATTGAAGAAATTGAGCGTATTTTCTCAGGCCTGGAGAACAACCAAAGGCTCCAAGGCCTCAGCCTGCGTTACTGTGGTCCGGGGCCACGGAGCGGGCCGGCGCTGGGCTCGGTCGTAAGCCAGAGTGCTGTCCGGTGAGACGCGTCCCCCTTCCCACCCCCTCCCATCTTGGCACTGCTCTGTCTTGAGTTGTATCACAGCTTGTTTACAGAGCCTACTAGCTATGAGTTCCCCTGACTTTTCATTATGATTTTAATCATCTTTTTCTCCCTTCTAATTACTTTTGGTTTCTTTTTCTTATTATAAGAGAAAGATCCTTTACTTACTTTTGAAAATCAAGGGTGGCAGGCCAAATACATGTTTTTGGCCAGATGACATGGTCACAAGGTGTATTTTTTTTGTGACATAGTCTGTTTATTATGATTATTTATTATTTTATAACTAGATCTATTATTTTATGAGATGACCTCAAATCCAAATTTGAGGAAGTGGAAATAACACCAAATGAACAGTGTGTTTCACCCCCTTCCCCAGTGAGCTGCACCTCGACGGCAATTACTTGCAATGTTCTGGAGCTCTGGCTCTGCTCAGACCCCTAGCAGAGTATGCAGAGATGCAGGGCAAAGGCTGGCCCACCACATCCTCACCAGACGCCAGGAATCCCCCTCAGCTGCTCGGAGGTAAGCACTGGAGAATTTGGCCTTAAAGTCCTTTTGGGGCCACCCAAAAGAGGAAAACTTTGGTTTGGGATTAAAATTACCTTCCCAGTGGTCAACGGAGACTCTTCTTCCTGAGTATGTGTGGGAGCAGAATGACGGTCCCCAAAGATGAGTTTGTCCTGTTCTTCAGAACCTGTGACTATGTTACTTCACATGGCAAAAGGGACCTTATAGTCCTTTTAAATTAAATCAAGTGATTAAATTAAAGACCTTGAAATGGAGAGATTAGCCTGGATCATCCAGGTGCGTCCAGTGTAATCACAAGGATCTCTATAAAAGGGAGGCAAGGGGGTCAGAGTCAGAGAGAAGGAGATGTGACAGTAGAAGGAGAGGTCGGAGTGATGTGAGGAAGAGGCCGTGAGCCTCTAGTAGCTGGAAAGGACAAGGAATCTAATTCTCCAGAGTCTCAGGAGGAACCCAGCGCTGCCAATGCCTTAACTTTTGCCTGTAATGCCCGTTTCAAAGTCCTGACCTCCAGAACTGTAAGGCAATAAATTCGTATTGTTTAAGCCACTAAGTTTGTAGTCATTTGTTACAGCAGCAAAAAGAAACAAGTATAGCATGTTAATTGGAACTCTTCCAGTTAAAAGTGAAAGCAGCCCAAACAGAATTAAAGAAAAATTGGGGTTTATTGGCCCAAGTAACTGGGACGTCCACAGGTGGGGCTGTCTTCAGAGATGGCTGAAGTCAGGGGCTCAAATCATGTCAGCAGGAGACCCTGAGTTTGCTGCTCTTGACTCTTCTTCCCCTCCAAGGGTTGGCCTTCTCTTCCAGAGCAGCCAATCTTCCTCCAAGCAGGAAACAGCACTTGACATGTCTGCCAGCAGTCCCAGGGCTGTATCATCATGACTTGTAATCAGTCAGAAAGGGTGAGTCTCCTTCTTCCAGTGGCTGTGGGTCGAATCCCATAGGAAGGCCCTAACTGGCCCTTCTTGGGTCACACACTACCTCTTGGACCAGCCCTATGGCCCAGGTCATGGTAAACCATGATTGGCCAGGATGGATCACACACCCATGGTGGGGAGGGGTGGAGCGGGGCAGCCCTGCCAGAATCACGATTTGCAGTGGAGAAGTGGCAGTCCCCAAGAAGTAGACAGATGAGGGGCACAGACGCAGGACTGACAAGAGCAACAGCTGCTTACTCCCCTATGAAAGGCTTTTCATTTGTTTTAATAGATCCCAAGTACACATATTCATGTCACATTTTAAAGCTGACTACTTTTAATCATTGGTAACAGTAAACTATAGCAAGTGGTTAATAGCACAGACTTAGAGTTAAACCTGGGTTCAAATCCTACTCTAGCTGTGCGTGACTTTGGGTAAATTATCGGATCGATCTAACTTCAGCTTCTTCAGCTGCAAAGTAAAAATGATGATAAGTACCCCATGGTGTATAGTGGGGATTAAGTGTTATAGCCTAAAGCAGTTAGCATGATGCCTTCACACAGTAAGCACTTGAGGGATATTAATTATCATTACCGTTATAGCAGCAACAGTCTCTTCCTGGGAGAGTAAAATCTCGAAGCACGTTGTTGAACACAATCACTCTACTTGCTGGAAAAAATGAACATAAAGAGCTGAAATGGGTGAACTGTTTTTGGCTTTGCTTTTAGTTTAAATAAATTGGGTTAAAAAAACCTCAAAAACTATACACTTCTCACCACTACTCCATCAGTAAAATGGGTATAATAATACCTATCCCGCAGGGTTGTTATAAGGACTTTAAAAGGTAGTATATGCAGGAGTGCTGGACGGCATGTCAGCATGTGACAGATACTAAGAAATGTTACTTGAATTTGCTCTTCTGGAGCCAGATCTGATTCCTGACCAGACTCTCTCCCTGCCACTATGCTACATCTCATCCTGAGCTGCAGATGGGGTTCTAAAGTTCCAAGAAATATTTACCAAAGTGGTAGGGAAAATCACTAAATTAGAATGTAATGAGAACCTCCAAGGAAATCTTAGGCTAAACTCAGCCAAAACTATAGGGCATAATTGCTATGCGGTCTAGTGCATATTCACAAACATATAATGAGTGGGAGTCAACCTTTGGGGGTAAAATGATGCTACCTGGTCTTATTCCTGTCAATCCGGGTATCTCGTTGCCTCAGGGTTAAGAGGGTTAGCATCATTAGCTTTATAACTTCTCTTCTCTATAAAATACTCCAAACTACAATTTTTAAAAATGTTGACTCAAAATCATTATGTAGCCATTTTTTTAAATCATAGATATAACTAACTGAAGGTGCATTTAACCATCACAATTGCTCTGCAAAGTAGATATGATAATCCCCATTTTCTGGTTGAGGAGGCTGAAGCTCAAGGCTACAGAGCTTCTAAAGGTCAGAGCCAATCCCCCGGCCCAGGGCCCTGGTGACACCCCGCTTAGATTATGAGACACCGTGTTCTCCAAGTCTTTTGATTCCTCAAAATGACTGGGGATTTTGCCCCAGGGTACAAAACAAAGTGACGTGTGCAAACTCAAGACAAACACATAAATCTCTGCTACAATTTGTTAAATGTTGGTGAATAATGGATAAAAAAGGTTGCATTTTGTAAAAAATTTTAATGAAATTTTATTGAAAATAGTATATCTCTGGTAATAACGCATATCCACATCAAATATAAATGCTGAAAATGTTCCATTTCTAGTGGATTAAGTCTAACTCTGTGCCAGTAAATATCTACATTAAATGAAGTACCATGCTGTCAACAAAAACAAAGAGCTGAAGTCAAGTCTACTTTGTGGAAATGAATGCAAAGAACTTGCAACTAACAGAGATTCCTCAATATAATGGCTATCACTCCTTTAGAAACTTTCATGGTATCAGAATTATATAGGTCATTTGTTGAACTTGATAATTCAGTCGACCCAATAAATATACAAAAGGATGCTGGAAAATAGTGATTGCTGTCAAATATTACCTTCCCTTTGCTATTTTTACCAATATTACTGTAAAACACCACAGTCCTATTTATGATGTCCTGTATTATAACTTTGGGATCTAAATAACTTAATGAATCTGATTTTTTTTTTTAATAATTGGAAATCTAAAAGCACCATCTCAAGGGCTTAGTGTGTGCAGGCAGGGACAGGTGTGAGAGGTGTGGGACTGGAAAAGTGAGGTGACAAAGATGTGGAGAAGAAACGTGGAGACCCCTTATTCCAGTTGTCCCAAGAGGTTTCTGCCCAGAAAAGCATTAAGGCTTAATCTGAGGAGTTCTGGATTTGTCTTCCCAGACTGCCAAAAAAGCCAAGTCAGAGCTGACCGCAGAGAGCGCCAGCCCTGTCATTCTTCATAGCAACCCCGGACGGGATGGAAACTGCTCCAGCTGGGCCAGGCCCTGTGGTCAGTGGTCAACAGACAGAATCTCTTTCAAGTTCTTCTCATTACTCAGGATCTCAGCAATAAGAACAACAAAACCCACAACAAGTACATTTCTAGGTTCTTCTCTTCGCCTAAGGCTAACTATAACAGTCTCCAACATCACATTCACTTGAACCTTGATTTTGATCCAGTTCAGCTTGTGCATTTCAGCTATTCTACGTTCTTTTGGGCGAGTGCATTAGTTTGCTCAGGCTGCCATAACAAAATACCACAGGCTGGGCGGCTTAAACAACAAATTTGTTTTCTCCAGTTCTGAAGGCTGGAAGTCCCAGATCAGCTGGGATTCAGTTCCTGGTGAGAGTTCTTTTCCTGGCCTTAAAGATGGCCGCCTTCTTGCTGTGTCCTCACACGGCCTTTCCTGGGTGTGTGCACTTGAAGAGAGAGAAGGAGTGCTCTCTGGTGTCTCTCTTATAAAGACACTAGTCAATCTGATCAGGGCTCCACCTTATGACCTCATTTAACCTTCTTTACTTCCTTAGAGCTCGCATCTCCAAACACGTCTACAGTGGGCATCCAACATATGAATGGGGGTGGGGGGCATGAACATTCAGTCCCTAACAGTAACATACATGCCAGTACAGAGTAAAAGTACCCTCTATGTCAGAGATGGAGCGACAGACCTCTGCGCGGGTAAATTAGTTTTCCTATCTTGATTTCACTTCTTTGCCAGCAGGATTTGCCTTAAATGATAGAATAAAAGAGGCCTATGAGGCAAGAAAAATGATTATGGTATATTACCAGCCCTCCCTTGGCCATGGGTAGATATAGGACCCAAGCTCCACCAGCTGGACTTTGCCACCCTAAAATGTTATTCCTAAGCTGAGGAACCTCATGCCCCACCCCTAACAACCTGTGCCTTAGCTCCATATCCCTGAAGCTGCCGTGGTCCCTGTCCTTTTCAACCCTGGTCTTGAAACCAAGATGCCATAGACTGAAAATTGCGTACCTCCAAAATTCTTATGTTGAAGTCTTAATCCCCCAGGTGATGGTATTAGGAGGTGAGGCCTTTGAGAGGCCTTTGCGATGCCTCTGATTAGGTCATGAGAGTAGAGCCCTCCTGCGGGTTTAGTGCCCTTCTAAAAGAGACCCCAGAGAGCTCCCTCCCCTCTTCTGCCACATGAGGTTATAGCGAGAAGGCTGTCTGTGAAGCGGGAAGCAGGCCTCCCAGACACTGAATTTCCCAGTGCCTGGATCTTGGACTTCCCAGGCTCCAGAAATAAAGGCACACGAAAACCTCCTAGTGCGTGTCTTTAAGGGGATGTAGATGGTTTTAAAGAAATGTGCAGATTCTCAGCTTCCATAGGACCCAGTGCCTGATGAATATCCTCGGTCACAATCATCATTCTACTTTGCGGAAGAAAGGCATACTTCTCTCCCATCCAGTATCTGAGCAGAGTGTCTTTCCTAGGGTGCAAAAACAAAGAGACAATTCAAAATATTAATGCAAGTGTTAAGAAAGTGAATGACAAATAATTCAGTAACAAACCATTTTTTACTCATCAAGTGGCTTCCAATTTTTGCTTTTAACAAAATTGAAGGAAGACCTAATCAAATTATCAACTGACAGCTCATTCAAAATCTTTGTGTGTGTGATCAACCACTGTGTGGTTTTTAGCCTATAACTCAGGAGTTCAAAGAATTGAATAATACTGCTATGATAAAACTTCTTCTAGGATTGCCTGGTTAAATTTGAATTTTAGATAAAGAAACAATTTATTATAACTACGTCCCATGCAATGTTTGGGATATACTTTAAAACAATTATTCTTTGTTTATCTGACATTTTAACTGGGTGTCCTGTACTTGGGGGGTGAGTGAGGCTAAATCTGGAAGTCCTATTCCATTCCCATCTGTATGAACAAGATTTCTCAGCACTTACAACTATAACAACGAAAAACAGAAATAGCATCAATGCTGAACTCTGCCTCATTTTAGCAGTAATATTTTTTACTGAATACATGAATTAATTGTAAAAACAAATAAATAAAACAGCACTATCCATGTCATTGAGAGATACATTCAATAAAATTTTATTTTTGTCTTTAATTAGGATTTATCAAAATCTATAAAATGTGTATGTGGTATGAATCAATCATACACTTCTAAAAATTGATTAATAACTGCAAAAGACATTTTTAAACTTTAACGCCTTATGGTCCCAAGAAATTTAAGAATCTCTTTTTTACGGAGAAGTACTACAGGATGACCTGGAAAAGACTTTCAAACATAAAATTCTGCAGTGTAAGTGGAATGGAAATACAAATGAAAGCACAAGAAAAAAAGAGAAAAATGCAAAATTTTCAGTTGCTAAAGAAGAGTTTCCTCATGTTTTGGGTTGCTTGGGAATTTTTTAATGGATAAAGTTGGGTATCAAATTTCTTGGAACTTAGAGTCCAGTTGATACCCTTAAGATAATGATATAACAGATTATACTCTTAAATGTCAATATTTGCCATGAACTAAAAATTTCATCCTTTTAAATTTTAAAATTTATGATGAAAAACTTTAGATATTGTCAACTTAAAAAGCAAATTCAGCACAACCAGAGGCACTCACAACTAGAATATGCAACTATGTACTGTGAGGCTTTGGGGAGAAGAAGAAGGAAAAAAAAAAAGAAGGAGATTGGCAACAGATGTCATCTCAGGTGCCAATCTTTGGGGAAAAAAAAGCAAATTCATCTGTTATTTATCTCAAAATGAGTTTATTCAGGAATAGCCAAAAGAATTGCAATTTGGGATGTGCATTCTATGGCAAACCACAAGCAAATCCAGAAAAACAAGGAGGGGAGCTGTTTCTATAGAGAAAAAGTGGAAGTAGGAGGGGCTGTTCTAAAGGAAAGTCCAGGGTTGGAAAGTAACAGTTCAGGGCAGCAATGGCTTCTCATTGGCTGAGCTGTGGCAGTTCTCATTAGCTGGGCTGTTGCTGGGTCGGAGAGAAATCTTCCCTCAGGAGTAAAGTAGTTGTACTTCCTGTCAGAAATTCAACCCTCAATCTCTAGTTGTTTGGTGTAGTTGACCGTGAGGGGAGGGAGAGCTCCCCCTACAGGCCCTCTGGACTCCAATTTAGTTAAGGTTTCTTTAATTAATTTCCACAATACATACCTAAAACCGTGCAAGATAGTCTATAGCTTTTCCACATGCCTCTGGGGTGTTATGAGAGCAAAAATTTTTTGAGGCCGCTGCTTTGTAAGGCCCAAATGTTTGGTTTCTCTCCTGTTCTGTGAGCTGCTCCCAGGCCTTCCAGCACCTTCTCCTTCCTGACAGAGTCAGGCACGCGGCTTTCTGTTGCTGACAAAGAGAAACGAATGCCTCATGATCCAATGACAAGTTTGTTTTCTTATTTACTCGTTATAACGTGTAAAACACAATCTTAGTAATGATGCTGCTTCCTTCCTTCGTCAAATGTGTGTGTGCCCACACGTGGGTGTGTATCTCCTAATATATGCCAGGTACTCTCCCCTGTGCTTGGGATACGTTAGCACGTAAAACAAATATCCCTGGCCCGAGGAGGCATGTGGTACAGGGGTGTATGTGTTTGGGGGCAGTCAGATAATATTTTAAAAACATAATAAATATATATATGCTATATATAGTTTGTTAGAAGGTGATGATTGCTGTGGAAAAAGAAAAAGTTGAGCAAGATAAGCAAGTGTGGGAGTCTGAGGAAGAAGTCGGACCAGGTGTGATTTTAAATAGATGGTTGAGTGTAGGCCTCCTGGACAAGGTAGCATTTGTCTACAGACACAGGAGGTGAGGGAGTGAGCCCGCAGATAAATGGGGACAACAGTCCAGGCAGAGCGGACAGCCTGTGCCACGGCTCCAAGGCCCACAGGACCCCAAGATGCACGAGGAGCAGCAGGGCACCTGGGCAATAACAAGGGCCAAGGGTCAAGGACCTTGTTAGCCAGGAAAGAGCAGAGGAGTGACTGATGGGACCTAAGTTTGAGAAGGACCCCTCAATCTGGGTGGCAAGGATACCTTGAGGGGGCAGCAGGGAGGCCTGTTGGGAGGCTGTCGTCATCCAGGTGAGAGGTGGTGGTGAGAGGTGTCTCCCCAGGTGAGGAGAGGGTGGTAGCACGGGGTGGTAAGAAGTGGTAGGTTCAGCATCTGTACTACTTCCTGAGGGATGGATATGGGTGCAAGGAAAGGAAGAGTCCGGAACAACTCCAGAGTGATGATATACTAATATACTTTTTTAAAATGTGCCCCGAATGTGTTCCTCTCTGCTATATTCTTACTAATCCCAGAGGTTTAGAGTGACTTTTACAGAGCACAGCTGTGGAATGTAAAGAAGAATCAACACAAGGCCTTGCATGACAGTTCTTGGGGCCCTCCTGGGTACAGGCTCTCCTCACGCCTTTGAGGAGAGAAATAGGGAAAAGACAGGACTGAACAGAAGTGAATATGGTTTTGACAATGGGTCAGATAATTCTCTTATGAGAAATATCTCTGCCCAAAGTATACATTAAATGAAGGCAATAAACAATTTCAGTGTGTGTCAAAAACCCATCCATGCAACTTTGAACAGGCTTTTCTTTTTTCATACAGTCAGCCACAGAGCAAGTTCAACTTTGAACCCGATTACAAAGTCATCTGGAGCTGTAACAGTGAAAACTACTTCAGGGAAGAATAAGAGAAAGAAAGGTATTGTTTTTGTGTTGTTTCAGCTATTGCTCCCACTTCCTTCCTTTCCTTCATCACTTCCTCCTTTCATGGGCTCTGTGTTCCCACTACAGAAGTAATTACCCCAGACAGAGAGAAAAACTCAAGCGGAGAAAAAAAATACTCAGGGTTTTTATGGCTTCATATGACCCAAAAACAGAACAGCTAGCCATATCCACCAGGGGAATTAGTCTTGGCACACTCAACAAGGCCACAAAACGATGGTGGGGCCCAGGCTGGTCTGGGAATATCTGCAATAAACCGCCAGCAGGACCTGATCAATCCAGCTTGGGGACTTCTCTCCTATGCTCATTGCTTAGAAACTGAGCCAGTTAGAAGGAATTTTAAGAAATCACCAACTCCACAACCTCTGAGCAAGATTAAACTAAATGAGAAGCTGTCCAATATTAAGGGTTTGCAGCTAAGTGTTGGGAAGCCAGGATTCTAGTCCCAGAACCTGCCCCGATGCCCGCGTCTCAGCATCCTAATCTGCAGTTCGAGAACTTTGCGCTCACAGCTTCCTAAATTCCACTCCAGCTTTAACAATTTGAAGATGTAAAGAGACAGGACAAGATGATCACTGGGCGTGTCTGGGCACAGTCTTTGGGAGACTGTTCATGGAGGCTAACCTAACTTCGTGTTGTTCTGTTTCAGTCCACTTCATTTTTTTTCTGTAAGGTTAGTGTGTGAAAGGCAATAAGCCCTTGTAATGAAGCTCTTTGCCCTTTGGCTTTCTCTTCCTCAGTTTTCGTCTGTTTTGTGTGGTCTTTTTTCTGTCTCTGAATTAATGTATCTCCTCCATGAAATCTCACTGAATTAGAAAATATAAATTCTTAAGATCTAAAAAGCCAAATGAAAATATAAAGTAAGAAAATTTATCAGGCATTTTTTCTGTTGTCTGATGTCAATATAGTCTTTCCACTGGAGAGTACTAGCAGATTTTGGGAAATCTACTAAAAGGAAAAAAAAAAAGAACCATGCCAGGTTATCATTTGTTTTAGACAGTTACCATTTGGGAATATTTTCAACCAAATATCCTTTCAGACGAATTGGTTGGGGTCCTGTGAGGATGAGGATGAGGATGATTGGCATCTCCAGGACAGGTGGCCCCATGAGGACAGTCCTTACACTGGGCCATTTGACATCTGAGAGGGCAGGAGTGCTGGGTCTCTGATTCTAACTCTGCATGTAGACTTTCAACAGAAATTGGTAACAAGGACAGAGACTGAATGTCTGTATCATGCTGTGCGTCAACTTGGCATTGCAGGAAGACCGAAAGGCCAAAATCTATCTGGGAACTTCAAGGCTTCTCAGGCTGGAGTGAGGCTCTGACCACTTCAATTTGTTGAGCCTTCCTGATAAAAAAAAAAAAAATTAAATTAGTTAATGGCAAAGAAGTTTAAAAAAATTGCATAATAGTTGAAGTTTTTACATTTAACAAGCAAACTCTTCTAATACACGTAAAAACACAGAGAACGCATGCATAACCTCATTAGGTGATGACACCAGGATGCGAATATGAGGCCCTTTGCGAATATGACTTCTCCTGTGTGCCACCCCCAACCCAAGACCCTCGCTCCCCACCCACATGTAGGCCCTGGAGATGTTAAACCTTCATAGAAGGTGGATAGTTTGAGGGAAAAGTCAAAAAGAGAGCAAAACAATTATTCATCCTTCACCTTTTAAATAATAGCTATGTTGAGGCCCAGGTCACAATACCTTTCAGCTACTAACAGCCATTACAAAAGTACCAGACATGCTTATTTTCATCTTCATGACCAGATATACTCTCCCACCAGGCCCCTGGAGGAGCCCAGTATCTTGAGGTCTGCCCGGGAACAGGCAGAGGCCTTGACAAACTGCAGGCTGCCTCTGGTCATTGTTTCAGTCAGCACTGATGAAATGAAATGTCCTCGGGATCATTTTGGGCTGGTATGTGAGGGATGTAGTGAGGGATATCCCTGGTCCCTGCCCCAAGGAGCTTACTTTCCGGTCACTGCAGCTGCCTCAACAGAAAATTGTTATCAAGCACCAGCTCTGTGCGGGGCACAAGGGGTGCTCCTGCCTTTTTGGGGTGTATTCATTTGCTAGGGCTCCCATAACAGAGTACCAGACTGGGGGAGCTTAAACAACAGAAATATGTTGTCTCACAGTTCTGCAGGCTGGAAGTCAAGCTCAAGGTGTTGGCAGAGTTGGTTCTTTCTGGGGGTTCTGAGGGAGAATCTTTCCATGCCTCTCTCTAGCTTTTGTTGCTTTGCTGACCATCCTTGGTGTTCCTTGGCTTCTGGTTGCATCACCCCAATCTTTGCCTTCATGTTCACATGGCATTCTCCCTGTGTGTGCCTTTGTCCAATCCTCCCCTTCTTATAGGAACATCGGTCATATAGGATTAGGGGCCCACTCTACTCTAGTATGACCTCCTCTTAATGAATTACTTCTGCCACAATCCTATTTCCAAATAAGGTCACATTCTGAATAACGGGAAGGGGGGTTAGGACTTCAACATATGAATTTTGGCAGGGGACACAATTCAACTCATAACAAGGGGACATGCAGTTTAGAAACAGGATACACACCCAGAACACAAATAGCCACACAAGGCAGCATCTGCCAAGGGCCAAGCATGGACACTGGGATCAGAGAAGAGCATTCTCTCCCAGGTCTGAAACCGGGGAGGAGGCTTTGTGAATAAGCTAGTTGCTGGTGCAGGGTGGAAAAAAAGAAAGGACTTAACCTGAGGAAGGATGTAAGTGATGAAGAAAGGCCTTAACAATGCAAGCCACAAGCACACAAGTTTAGCTGGAACAAGAGGATGTGGGAGGGTGGACCTGTCAAGAGGGGTGGGTCATATTAAGGAGGACTTTGCATGTCAGGCTGAGAGTTTGGACTTAGTCCAGTGGACAATGGGAGCCATTAAAGTCTTTCGTCTCCCAAGATATCCTTTGCCTCGAACCAATAAAAACAATTTTGTAGCTTCTTGTCAGAACAGACCATTTTCTTGCTTTTCAGAGTTCACAAAACAAGTTAATTTTCCCACATTGGATAATTACCTTCACAGTCATAAGGTGTTTGTTCGGGGGTTAGTTTGGTCTTGGGGAGAGTTTTACTTGTTTCACAATAAAGAGTCAGACCGAGCTGGTTTACATCAGCCTCCTGGGTGAGGAGTCCAGACGGTTTCCATTTGGTCCCAAGTGGAAACAGCCAAGCTATTTTTATGCTCACCCCTTTGTGAACAGGAGGCTTTTGGCCTGCTGCTTAGGAAGTCGAACTCACAATATGGTACAAATCAAAACCCCTATTCAGAATCCTGACACCTTTTATTGCTCCTCTCTGAATGTTTAATTATAAGAACCTAACAACTTTACATTAGCAGCCATTTATAAGTTGATAGAAGAGGCAAAGTATTCCATTTCTGTGCCTGCAGAGGTTACACATCTGTTTGTGCATACCAGACCTGCCTCAAAGCACCACGGAACATGAGGAACCATTAGATCAGAGGTTCTCAAACTTGCGCAGCAGAGGCACCCGGAGGGCTTGTTAGAACACAGGCTGCTGGGCCCTGCTCCCGCAAGGTCCTGAATCAGTAGATCTGAGGGAAGGCTGCAGAATTTGCTTTTCTATCAAGTTCCCAGGTGATGCCGAGGCAATTGGTCCAGGGTCCACACTTTGAGAACGAGTTTTAGAATTGAAAGAAATCAGATTGCCTACTCTTGCTTTATTTTGCTCAGGAAAGAAAGTCAGAGGGCAGAGTGAGGCTCCTACTGCCTCTTCTCTGCCATAGAAACCACAGAACAAATAGCACCCGGGCCCATTTCTCTTCCATCTTCTCTGTCTCTTCTAGAGCCAGCCTGGCTCACTTCTGAGCCCCGTGACACTGTCCCACAGGTACACAGGGCCTGGGCCACCCAGGCCTGGCGACACTCAAGTGGGTGATGTCTGGCTTGGCCTATGACTAGTCACGAGCCTGTCTTGTTCATAAAGAGCCAGAAGATGGCCGAAGACTAGAAGTCACCCAAAGGTTGTCAGGAATAGTCATCTGCAGAGAAGATGGCTTCCCTGAGCCCCTTTCGCCCAGCCCTGCCTCATCATCTCAAAGCCCCAGAAGTTCCAGAAAGACCCAGCAAGGACGCAGAGGTGTCCTGTCACCTGAGCCTGCTCTGCTTCCCGGCTCAAGCCCCACACGTAGCTCCCAGGATTGTTTTAATTCTCGAGGATTTAGGACTGGAAAGGCTACTGCATGACTTAGACGTGTACAGGGGACAAAATCTAACCATAAAATGGTCAGTCCACACACTTGGGATTGATCAGACCTTTACAACAGCACCAATGCCACCCAAGGGGTGAATTCACTTCCCCAAATAAGGCGTTATTACTTGTATCCTAGCCAGAGTCCATAGGAATGCTAGCAGCATTAAGGAATGCAAAGGTCAAGTTCAAAAGTTAACACGTAATCTTCAGAACAGCTTTATTAGTTCCAAATCAGGAAGTCACTCGTTATAATCCTGAAATTATTTTGGGATTTTATCCTGGAGTGATAGCTAAACAATGGAAACCTTTACAGGCAGGTTCCAAGGTCCAAGATGTAAATCATCTGACACTAATTACCCTCTGCTTCCTTAAGTCTTGCAATCAAGCAAGCGGAATTTATGTTTTGGTTTACAAACCTCTGGTAATTACACAGGAAATCACGCGTGTTCCTTGTTGATGGAAAGAAGCTATTTTTAACAGGTTTAAAAAGAGTCAACCTCAACAAGGAGGTCTGACCAGGACCCGGCGTCCACCGATGGAGAGAGCTGTGGTTAAGTGAAACAATCGGATGCCCCCCTGTCCTCGTGGTCCCAGAGGAGGCCGGAGAGTCAGGGAAGAGAAGAGGAACCTTTTGGGGGGAACTTCTGGTCTATGAAGGTTTCCACTTGCCCTCTGGGTGCTGGCCCACACAGGAAGTAGAGCTCTCTCGGGAAGGGATGAGCAGAGGCTCGGCATCTGGGAGAGCGAGGGCATTCTAGGCAGAGAGAGGGAAGCACGGGAGAAAGGGTGCAGGGGGCCAAGAGCCGGCAGTGGTCAGCATGAGGGAAGTGTGACGTCCACCACAGAGCGGTCGTTGGGCGAGTGGCTAGAGATGTTGCTGGAAAGGCCAGTGGACCCACATGGCCAAAAGCCATGACTGCTGTTAAAGAGTTAGACTTTGTCCTGTGTGCAAAGCGGGAGCCATGATGGTTGTGAAGCAAGACAGTGACATAATGAGAAGTGGATTTTTGAACAGAACTTCGGGCAGCTGTGCAGAAGGTGCTTTAGAGAGAGGAACGTCTGGAGGATGGGAGGCTGGTTCAGAGGCTTTTACGACGGTTCAGACAAGAGAATGTAGAACCACGGAAGTGCAGAACCGAGTGATGGGAAGATAGAGTCTGGATCTGTTTCGGAGGGAGATTGACAGGACCTAGTGGCCAGTTCACTGAGAGCTGTAAGATTCTGAAATCAGGGACAATTTGGGGATCTGGGCAATTAACTAAAGAGAAAGTGGGAGGGAGCCCAAGGTTGAGTGAGTCCCTCTTGGATCTGTGGAGTGGCTTCCAGGGAGAGGCGTGCGAGTGGCAGAAATATGTGTGTGATCCTCAGGAGGCAGTGGCAGAAGGGAGGACTTGTTACACATGGAGCTTCTCCACGCCGGTGTTCAATGACTTACAAAATCCAGAACTGAAGCTGGGAAGCTAGGCAGCAATATTTCCTGTGTACTAAGTGCCTCTACAACCATTATTTCACCATGCTTCCCAGTCGATTTTTACAATGCATCTAGGAGAAGACTATTATGATCTCTATGTTAGCAATAAGGAAATTTAGTTTCAGAGAAGTTAAGTGACTTTCTGGGGAGTCACACAGCATTTTTCAGAAAGAGGTTTTTAACCTGGAGACTCTGCTCCTATCTCTACGCCACTCTGCCTCTTAGGCACAACTGGCATCACTATGCCCCCACTAAGTTCTCTGAGACAGAGGGGGGTAAGTTAAAGTGGTCGTTGTTGGTGAGCTTGGTTTTGTTTTAAAGCAGAGAAATGTAAGATTAGGTAAAAATAGGATGGAGTGAATACAGCTGGAGTGGATCAGGTATTACCAGGGGCTCAGCATGTACTCACTTTTACTCCAAGGAATTTGTTTTCCATCCAGAGAAAAGAATTTAATTCTGCTTGAACTTTGGTTGAAGGCCTGGAGCAGGCAATCCCTGTATGAAGCAGCCTCGGCCTTCCCCCCTCAACAGGGCACTGTGACTCACGTGAGGTCTAAATTCTGGAGAGGGGTTTGGACTAGCATTTTCCAAACTGTTTATTCTTCATAGGCACAGGTGACATGTCCCTCCCAGTTGGAGGGAGATTTAGATTGTTTTTCCCACGGGGGTGCAAGCTGTACCAGGCCAGTCACAGGCTGGGCAGCCCCTTTCCTCTCCAGGGGCACACATCTGTGCCACGCTAGCTAAGCCAGGGCGTAGGCTGGCTGAGAGGGTTTCTCTCCTTGCAAAGCTGAGTGGCTGCACAGGAATTTGGCCTTTGGCCTTTGGCCTTGGCCCCCTTGGCCTCGTGTTTCACCACTGCTGCTTTCTGGCATGCCAGAAGGGGGCAAAAAGAAATGAGTGCCACATGCAATCAGTCTCCACATCGTTAATCATTCCGGGCAATAAACTTCACTTTTCAAAGGCATTTATGTTTGTGAAGAGATTTTATAAATAGAAAAATCATATTCTATTTTATGTTCATGAGTGGTCTCAAGGCATTATTACCTGTGCTGTACTTGGAAAAACAATGAACAGTGAGATAGAAGTTTCCACGCTATGATTGCACTCTGCACTCCCCTGCTCATTGATTCGTTCATTTATTCCACAAAAAGTTATTGAAAACCTACAATGTTCCAGACACGTTCTAGTCTATTAGCACTGTTATCTTATCAGCCGCATGCCCTGGATTTAAGGACAAATGAGATATGGACACATTAGGCTCATCCCCAATAAAACTAAAGGATGAGGCAGTTTTCTTCCCTCCAACTGTGCTTTGAAGGAAAATAAACCCTGTCTATCTCGTTCAACAACCCAGCAAATTAGATTCCTATCCAAAGAAACCAAGTGACTTTTTGTAAAGCATACTTTTTTTTTTTTTTAAAGAACTGGCAAACTAGAATGGCCCAATATCCAAAGTTATCACCTTTTCCTAAAAGGTCAGTTCTCCTTCATGGCTTGAAAACTTACACTTGGCTATCAGCGACTCTTCTCTTCCTGCGCACAGTTGGCTCACTTCAGGTCAGCGTCGTGAGGCCAGGCGGTTTTGTCTCTTCTGTTGCCTGTTGCAGTCCCACTGCCAGGAACGGTGCCTGGCACAGAAGAGGAGCTCAGAAAGATTTGTTGAGTGCCGAATGAATGCAAGTGCAGAAGAGTCCTCGTCTAGCCCTGGGGCTAGGTTCTCAAGTATGTTAGGCACAATTAGTGTGTAGCTAAATGGTCCTTTAAAACCCCTTGAATTGCCCACACAATACGACATGTAGACATACTATCTGTAAGTTCCACGTGGTTTCTTCCCCAGCTTTGGAACAGATCGCTGTTTCTCACTTGAGCCCCAGATGCAGCAGTTGGCTAGTGTTTGGGCGGTCATGTTGCACAAAATGTATATAATTTCAAACACTTGGAGGCTCCCGGGAAGCGATCTGGCTCTGGGACTGGAGATCCGGATCTCCCATCTCACACTCACTGCGTGGGTGAGCCAGGCTCGTGTCTGGATTTCTCTTTCTCCATCCCCTTCGTGGTTTTGGGGTTTCTTTTTTTTTTTTTTTTTTTTTTTTTGGTGTTTTTTGCTAAACTCCTAAACTTGAACTGGTGTGAGCTGAACGGGTACGTGATGCCGCTCCGCAGCACTGACACTGAACTTTATGAAACCGGATAGACCGACAAGGGTGAACCAGACTCCAGGACCACTGACCGCAGTCGTGACATCTACAAAGGCAGGATGGTTTCTCCCCTTCAAACATGTCCTTCTAGAACTCAAAAAATGTGACAACTTTGCAGGCTTTTTCATAGGGCTGAATCTCTATATAAGGGCTATCACTTTCCCAGGATCCGCGGACAACTTAATCATCTTGTACCAAAAAATTTCCAGAAACATTGGTTTTCCTCTTTAGCCAAAGTAAAGGCAACAATCTAAATCTTAAATGAGATGTCCTCTCATACAGAGCAATTTTGGGCTTTCTGTTGTACAGAATAAAGGATGTACTGAGTATTTTTTAAAAGGACTTCTTAAATTATATGTATTTCCTTGACTATATTGCATAATGCGTCTGCTCACACAAGTCAAATAAGTACAATCTTAAAAAATAAAATCAACTTAGGTGGTGGTAAACAGTGGAACTGTTGTCTAAAAATAGTAAAATACTCTAGTTTTTCTTGTAGGAATCAAGAAAAAAGTTAAAGGTTTGACTGAAGCTGGTCCTTGGTTAGTGAAATTGCATTTGGCAGATAATGGCATAGATGGAAAAGGAAACGAAGGAGAAAAAGGCTTCTTGGAATTCACTCAGATTTTAACATGGTGAGTAGAAAATTAAGAGGTTCTATTTGTTCACCTTCCAAAACTAGGTGCTTGGGTTAAATCATGGGGATGATGGTTTAACTGCAGCTTGTTACCAGTGCCAAGTGAGGTTTTTCAGCTCTGAGAGGGAAGCAGTGACCCATCTTGGTCTTGGTACGTGGTCTTAAGAGAAGGCCTGGAATCATAAAAACGGCACTGCAGACAGTTGCATGTGAGCCCACAAAGGGGTCTCAAAGACCTCACCAGAAGCCCTATCTGAAGAAGTTGGCAACTGAGGAAAGACAGGAGGTATGACCGCCAGGGTCTTCTTCCCTAAATCAGGATATAATGTCAAATATAGCAATGTGACCTGAGGAAGAAAGGCAGCCCACTCAAGTGACCACTCTTGTGTTTGATTACAAAGTTGTCCCAATCTTCTTAGACAGAAAGACACAGCTATTCTCAAAAGCTTCTGGAAAACAGAATATTTCCTTGCCATGTTTATCTTGACAACTTGGACATCTCCCTGTCCAGCTCTCTTGAATCCACATACCCGGTACCCAGTGGGCCAAGCTACGAGTCAGTATTTGCAGCACTGTAAGAAAGCTTGCTGTGTAGAGGGCTCCAGGCTATACCATCTCAGGACATCTGTACTTACAGCCCCTTGGAGCAGACAAGGACAGTGGAGCACAGTCTTGATCTGAGGCTCGAGGGTTTGATTGATGGCTACATATTACTTTAGAGGAAAAAGATTTCTTCTCTAACATACTTTACTTCCTTACTTAGGAAGGTTGGGAAGATTTCCACATGGATAGCTTTGCTACTATTTCTAGAATTATGTTAATAAATTTCATTTTATTACCCTTTTAATATATTTGCTAGATTTAGTATATTGATGGCATATTATCCTTTTAGTATATTACTAACATTTTGCTAAGGATTTTTGCATCTATGTTCAGGAGGAATATTGGTCCTTGCTCTTCTTTTCCTGTAGTGTCTTCATCTGTATCGGGATCAAGGTAATTCTGGCTTTACAGAATGAGTTAGGAAGTGTTCTCTCCTTGTTTATTTTATTAAAAAATTTGTGCAGAATTGGCATTATTTTATCCTTAAATATTTGGTAGAATTCACCAGTGAAATCATTTGGACCTGGAATTTTCTATATGGGAAGATTTTAAACTACAAATTCAATTTCTTTAATAGATATAGGCTATTCTGGTTATTTTTACTTGAGTAAAGCTGTGGTAGTTTGTGTTTTTCAAGAAATTTGTTCATTTTATCTAAGTTTTCAAGTTTATTGGCATAAAGTTAGTCAGAATATTTCTTTGTAATCCTTTTAATGTCTGTAGGATCTGTAGTGATGTTGCCTCTTTCATTCTTGATGTTGATCATTTATTTTCTCTCTTTTTTTCTAGTCAATCTGAAAAGAAATTTGTTAGTTTTATTTATCTTCTCAAAGAACCAGCTTTCCCTTTTCTCTAATGTTTTTCTTTCTTCAATTTCATTAATTTATTCCCTTATCTTTATTGTTTCCTTTATTCTGCTTACCTTGGGTTTAATATGCTCTTCTTCTAGTTTATTAAGGTAAAAGCATAAGTCATTGATTTTAAAGCGTTTTATTTTTCTAATATAAAAGTTTGTACTAACACTAAGCACTCTTTCAATGCATCCCACAAATTTTGGTATGTTGTATTTCATTCAAACTATTTTCTAATTTCCCTTTTGATTTCTTCTTTGACCTATGGGTTATTTAGAAGAGTACTGTTTAGTTTGCACATATTTGTAAATTTTTCAGATATTTTTCTCTTGTTGATTTCTAATTAAATCCTGCTGTGGTTGGAGAACATACTTGTTTTATTGCCCAGATTATGGTCTATCTTAGTAAATGTTCTATGTGTACTTGGAAAGAATGTGTATTCTGCTATTATTGGATGGAATGTTCCATAAATGTCAATTAGGTGAAATTGGTTGACGATGTTGTTCAGGTATTCTATGTCTTTACAAATTTTCTGTTTACTTGCTCTATCAATTATTGAGAGAGGGATTATTGTGATTTTGTTTATATCTCTTTGCAGTTTAATCAGTTTTACCTCATGTATTTTGAAGCTCTGTTATTAGGTGCATAAACATTTAGGATTGTAATATCTCTCAACAAATTGACCCTCATTATCATTTGAAATCCCTAGTAATATTTATCTCTTATCTCTGGTAGTATTCCCTTCTCTGAAATATACTTTGACTTATATTAATATAGCCACTCCAGCTTTCTCTTGATATTAGCATGATGTATCTGTCTCCATCCTTTTACTTTTAACCTGTGTTTTATATTCCATTTGGGTTTCTTGTAGACAGCATATAGTTGAGACCTTCTTTTTTGACCCGTTTTGACATTCTCCGTCTTTTAATTGTCATTTAGACCATTACGCTTAATGTGATTATCGATATAGTTGGGTTTTAATCTACCTTCTTGCCATTTGTTTTCTATTTGTCTCATTTGTTATTTTAACTAGTTTTCTGCCTGTTTTGGGATTCAGTAATGTTTATAATTTCATTTTTATCTCTTTTATTGGCTCATTAGCTAATACCTCTGTCTTTTTTCTTTTTAGTGGTCGCTCTAGTGTTTACACCATTCATTTTTACCTATCACAGGCTGCCTTCAACTAATATTATACTACGTCACTCATAGTATGAGAATTTTACAACAGTACGCTTCCATTCCCTCCCATCCTTTGTGCTCTTGTTGTCATATATTCTACTTTTACAAATGTTAAAAATCACAGAATACATTGTGATTATTATGTTTGTTTTAAGCAGTTTATTTTTTTAAATAAGAGGGGAAAGTCTTTTGTATTTATTCACATATTTACAATTTCTAGTGTTCTTCATTCTTTTGGATATATCCAAATTTCTATGTAATATTATTTTCCTTCTGTCTGAAGGACTTACTTTATACACTTCTCGTAGTCCTGATTTGCTGGTGGTGAATTCTCTAATCTTTTGTATGTCTAAAAAGTCTTTTTTTTTTTGCCTTCATTTTTAAAGATTTTGGGGGAGGGGTATAGAATTCTTGGTTGACAGTTAATACTTTCAAGATGTTGGTCCACTGTCTTCTGCTTGCATTGTTTCTAAAGAGAAATGTGCCGTCACTTTTGTCTTTGTTTTTTTGTACATAATTTGTCTTTTTTCTCTGGCTGCTTTTAAGACTTTCTCTTTACTACTCTAGTGACCTAACCAACTTGAACTCATAAAGGCAGCTTAGTGCAAATTTAGCATCCATGGTCTTTGTATCATTCATCTATTCTGGGTCTTTTCAGCCTCACTGCATCTCACTGGCAGTTGGTGACCTTCTGATGTGACTTGTGCAGTGAGCTGCATGCTCACCTCAAGGACAGGTCCCCTCCCTCATTTCCATCTTCTCAGCTTCAACACTCACTCTCCTTGGCACTTGTCTGCAGTGCTAACAGGCTGGTGTCCTGGAAGTAGAAGGATCATCTTCATAACTCCACCCTACCCTGGCTAGCCCAGTTCTGGGCTAGCTGGAGAGAGAGTTGAAGGATGATCAAACAGGCTCCAGGAGCACTTTGGGGAACAGATTTGTGGCTCCTCAACTTTTACCCTTGAGAGTCCGTCCTGAGTATTTACACAGGAAGAGCTTAGTGGATGGATGGGGAGCCAAGGGGCTTGTCTGGGGGCCTGCCAGCAAGTCAGCTCCTGGGGTCTGCTTAATTGAATATTTACTTAAAGTGGCTTATGCATATGCATTTATGTTGGGGTAAGATTTAGTGATGGAGATTATGGAGCACTGATCACCTGCCTACCCACTGGCCCTCTTCATCCTTGGTACCACATGGGTCTATCCTCAACTTCGGATTAGCTGGTCCAGGGACATGGGATATCATGCCTTTTGTTTGTGATGAGGCCTTACCAAGCTCTACTAAAGCCAATATCAGTGGCTTCTTTTTCAATATCTGCTAAAGCCAATACCCCTAAAGCCAATATCGGTGGCTTCTTTGAGCTTAAGGCAGGAGCCAAATGACCCTGCTGGTTCTCCCTCTCATGACCCAGGCCTCCCTCTGATCAGGATTCATCTAGCAGTGCTCTATGGGGCCAACAGAACAGTACAATTACTTAAGGCTGACCCTTTGGCAGATTTTGCTTTCTGCTCTGAGCACGCTAAACATGACAGCAAAACTGGCTATAGGATTCGTGGGGACCCAGTGCAGATGGAAACTCATGGGCTCTTGTTCAAATATTATGAATTAAGAATTTCAAGATGTTGATAGCAGAGAACTAAACCAAGTGAGGAGCCCTTCTGAGCTCAGGCCCCACACCTGTGAAGCCGGCTCTGCGTGTCAGGGTACACAAACACCACTAGCAATGCGCGCCAGTGCCAGGAATTCCCTTCCCATGTTTTTTTAGTTCTGATACTAAATACTTAAATATTTTTGTTCTTTTTTTTTTTAAGTGTAAGAATTGGGAACTATTGGAGATTGAAACATATTTTCTTGGTGTCTGTGAATCATGCATCATGGCTATCTTCAAGCAGACTGCCTGGGTTCACATCCCTGCTCCACGGTTTACTAGCAGTATAATCCTAAGCAAGTTAACTAACTTCTCTATATCTTCTCTATATCTTGGTTTCCTCGCTTGTAAAACTGAGGATAGTAATAGTGTCTAACTCCAGAGATTGCTACAGGGTTAAATGAGATCATGCATGTAAGATGCTAAATATAGTACCCAGGGCTGCAGCTGGCACCTTTATACAAACTAGAAAAAGAGCCCCTCTGGACAGATGAGTTAAAAGAGTTGGCCACCTCTGGCCAATGAGTCAGAGGAAGTTACCCTTTCCAGGTCTCTGCCTCAGGCCCAGGACTTGGCAAGCAGAGCTTGGCTGGATTTCAGCCCCGCTCACACCATTGGAAGGCCCCTTTGTGCTGGGCACAAGTGCTTCTAATCACAAGGGTGGCCCTGATCACATCTGATGCGTAGTGAATGCCCCACAAAACCGAAGCTCATGTGAGGCTGTGTCGTGTGGTGGGTAAATCCATGCCCTCTGGAATCAGACCTAGATGCAGTCAGGTTGTGAAGTTTGCCTTCAACACTCTCCACTCTCCTTCTGTGCACCCCCACTTCCTCCTTGAAGCATTCCTGTTCTTACTTATCTCATCTGAAGGAATTGAACATAAGCAGTTCAGGAAGCCAAAGCCAGTCAAGTCCTGATTAGACAGACTGTTTCCTTGGGAGCAAGATCTTAGAGAGGGAGAGTCTGGAAGGGTCATGCAGCCCTGGCTTTGAATTCTGGCTGCCGAATCATAGAAAATGTGTGCAAGGAGCAAGAGAGTGGCATTGTATTCGCTACTGACCCCAACTGAAATTTCATATCCCCCGCACATAGTAAGGGCTAAAAATTGTTTTACTGATAGTCATATGATAATTTTTTCAGAGCAGAGATCATGTGTTAACTTCCTGTTAATCCCTGCCGTGTTAAGCACATAATACGGACTTAGTAAGTATGCACTCAATATAATAGCATCATTGGTATGTCATTTTGCAGGAGGCTTTATATGAACTGCTCCATTCCATTTTCACCACAACCTTGTGAAATAGGCAGAACAGCTCTTTTCAGGCCAATTTTACAGATGGGGAAGGTGAAACCCAAGAGGGCACATGGCCTTCCCATGAGCATATGGTTGACAAGAGGAAGAAGCTGACTCGGGACCTAGGCCTTCAGTCAGATTCCACGTCCACTCATGACGCCAGAAATTCTCAAAGACCAATTGGCAGGCCAGTGCGAGGACATGAAGGAATTTTCAATAATCCTCAAAGAGATTAGAAAAAGTAAAGACAGCTAGAGTGTTCATTTTTCATAAAACTACATTTGCTTGATTTAAAAAGCTATACTTTATTTCAAGTCTTTGCCCTTCCTAATTTTACGTAAAAATATTTGTTCTTTTATAAGTGTTGTTGGGTGGAAGTTGTTATTTATTTGACATACTAAAAGTTGCCAAGCTGACCTTCATCAGTCCCCCCAAGTTTTTTGACATTTTATTGATATGTAAAATCTAAAAAACTGGGAAGCCCTATGCATCTTTTGAATAAATAAATGAATGGAAGATTTAAGGCAACTGAAAATCCTTATCCTACCAACTTACTTAGGAGAGGCATCCAAACTAGAGAGATTAAATTGAAAAAAACGTATTCAAGATGTCTCCAGCTTCAACCTGGGTCATGGGCGTGGGGGGGCATGGGGGGGGGGGGGGAGAGGACCTGAAAAGAAAAATCATACTCCAGAATAACTGGATTGAGTTTCTTTGAGTAACTGTGCTTGGCACAATGCCATTTTGTTTTGTCGTTTCCTTTGGTCAGCCTGATCAAATACTCTGCCCACTTAAGGGAAATTGACCTTGGAAACAACGGCCTGGGAGAAAGGGCTGCTGCTGACATACTTGAAGCACTGCGAGCCAGAAAGGCAGGTAGAGTGTTTTGGTTTGTGTTCCCTTCTACTTGTCCACATCCACTCTTTCCCAAATGCTGTACTACCCCAAACTTGCTCCATGTTTTTCATTAAACAACTGGCCTGAGCTATGTGATGACCAGGAACACTGTCACAGGCCAGCCATCTTTGTGTCAAATTGCCCAGTGATTTGCAGAATTCAAGAACTTTTATGCTGTCATATGTAGTCTTTGACCTAAGCAATGAATGTTGCTAGGCAACATTTTCTCTGTTACCCTTTCTTTTCTCTCTTTTCTCTTATCCTCACCTGTTCTCTGAGGAACTCTCTCCTAGTCTCTATTCTCCTTCCCAACCCAACCTGCAAATATCTCTCCAGATATCAATTGGAAAACGCAAGTAACAGCCCTCATAAGATTCTGATGTGCTTTCTGGATCATCAAAGAATGGTTCAATTGTGATTGGCATCAGGAGAGCATTAAATCTACTTTATGACCATGTAATCCTTTGAAAATTAGAGAACCACATATGGAGTGAGTTAACATTGGCCATCTCCCTTGCCCCCTTCACCAATAAGCATGACCAGAGTTAATGATAGCCAGTCTTACTGCTGATGAGAGAAGATGAGGAAATGTGATTTTAAATAAAGCTCAGTGAAAGACATCATAAATAGATTTGAAAATCCAAATTCAATGTTTAAAAAAGGGGGGAGAAATCTTGGTGCACTATCTGGCAGGTTATGTGGAGAGAATTAAGTAGTACAAGCATTCGGTCTTTATCATTTCTTCAATAAAACAGTCTTAGAGACATGGCATAATTTTAGATTGGATTTTTTTTTAACACTGGCAGGTTTAGAGAAAAGAATTACAATATTACTGTCTATTGCATTGCCATTTTTATAAATTTTACTTTTCTTTTTTTTCTCCCCAAACCTCCCCCAGTACATAGTTGCATATTTTTTTTAGTTGTGGGTCCTTCAAGTTGTGGCATGTGGGATGCCACCTCAGCATTGCTTGATGAGCGGTGCCATGTCTGCACCTGGGATCCGAACTGGCGAAACCCTCAGTCGCCGAAGCACAGCGCAGGAACTTAACCACTCGGCCGCGGGGCCGGCCCCTACATTGCCATTTTTAAACTAAAACTATCGTATTACCGTTTCTGCTGGCCAATCAAATGATTTCAAGATTTTAAAATTATCCCTTTATTTTAGAGAAATAGAACATCAACTTCCTAGTCCATTTGAGTTGAATTCAAATTCAACAGAATTATTCTGTTAAAATTAATTCAAATTTAACTTTAATTTAAGCGCGATAAACTGAAGGCAGGTTAATGATTTCTTTAGGTTTTTCTTGGCACTGTAGTAACTTTTTCACTATCTGCTGAGCAGACGACATTATAGAAAGCTGCAGGCAACCTTCTGACCATTACTATAGTGAGTGCTAATGGTGGACAGTCTCAGATGATTTCATGGAAAATGCTTATCATCAAGTACGCATTTAGAGCTGCATACATGGTGCTTGCTTAATAAATGGTTCAATTTGCGTAAATGGGAAGATAATTGTGAAATACCCACCTGAAAATATAGATACTCATTTAAATAGCGTTAAAAAGTAATTTATAAACTCCTCAGTTGAGGGAAACAATAGAAAGAATAAACAAATGGGACTTCATCAGACTAAAGAGCTTCTTCAAGGCAAGGGAAAACAGGATTGAAACAAAAAAACAGCTCACTAATTGGGAAAAAATATTTACAAGCCACTTATCCAACAAAGGGTTAATCTCCATAACATACAAAGAACTCACACGGCTTAACAACAAAAAAACAAACAACCCGATCAAAAAATGGGCAGAGGACATGAACAGACATTTCTCAAAAGAAGATATAAATATGGCCAATAGACACATGAAAAGATGTTCAACATCGCTAATCATCAGGGAAATGCAAATCAAAGCTACACTAAGATATCACCTTACACCCGTTAGATTGGCAAAACATCCAAAACCAAGAGCGACAAATGTTGGAGAGGTTGTGGAGAAAAAGGAACCCTCATACACTGTTGGTGGGAATGCAAACTGGTACAGCCACTATGGAAAACAGTATGGAGATTTCTCAAAAAGTTAAAAATAGAAATACCATATGACCCAGCCATCCCATTACTGGGTATCTATCCTAAGAACCTGAAATCAGAAATCCCAAGAGTCCCTTGCACCCCTATGTTCATCGCAGCATTATTTACAATAGCCAAGACGTGCAACCAACCTACATGCCCAGAAACTGATGATTGGATAAAGAAGATATGGCATATATACACAATGGAATACTACTCAGCCATAAAAAAAGACAAAATTGGCCCATTCGCAGCAACGTGGATGGACCTCGAGGGTATTATGTTAAGCGAAATAAGCCAGTCAGAGAAAGACGAACTCGATATGACTCCACTCATAGGTGGAAGTTAACATATTGACAAGGAGATCTGATCGGTGGTCACCAGGGAAAAGGGGGGGCGGGGAGAGGGCACAGAGGGGGAAGAGGTGTACCCACAACGTGACTAACAATAATGTACAACTGAAATCTCACAAGGTTGTAATCTATCATAACATTAATAAAAAAAAAAAGTAATTTATAGTAGAAGAAAGTGGACTTTTCCAGATGTATATATCATGAGTAGCTTTAATGCATCCACCTTTTGAACCAAAATAATTACGGCATGTTTCTGATGGAAACTTTCAATCAGACTGTTACTTTCAACACCAAGAAAGACTCCTCAAAACTGGGTTAACCGGTTGGATTCCATAGGGAAAGTCTTGCCATTTAGCTCTAATGGCATCATTTTAAACATTAAAAGCAATTAGAAATATCACTGCTCATAGAACTAATCTTCTTCTTTTGATTGCTTCTGGGTTCTTATCATTTGCAAGTGAATAAGCTAACTTCTAATTCTAATTCCACTTCTTTCATGAAATTCAAGTTAACAGCCTAAGGTCATTTATTTACCAAGGAGTCCTTAATGCAATGATGGAACACACACAGTGAAAGCTTCCTCGGAAACATCATCAACCTCACGTCTTAAAGAAAAAGTTAAAAAAGAGACAAACTGCTATCCACATCTGACAGGGTTGCTTTTTAACTAATAAAAAAACCTCAGAATACTTCCGGGTCATTTCATTTATTCATTCTTTACTTATTTGTTTCCTTCAACATACATTTCTTAAATGCCTGTTGTGTGCCGGGCCTTGTTCTCGACACTGGTGAGTTGAGCAATGAATTCCTGCCCTTTTGGAGCTTACGTCCTAGTGGAGGATGACAGACAGTAAACCAACAAAGACAAAAAGAAGTGAAATATATACTATTGTACAGCAGATGGGGATCATACTTAAGGGAAAAACAAAGCAAGAAAAGGAGATAGAGTGTCGGGGGCAGGGGTTGCAATTTTAGTTCAGGCAGCAAGAGAAGGCTATACTAAAAAGGGACATTTGAGTGAAGACCAGAAAGAGCGAGGAGCAAGCCGTGTAGCTGTCTGGGGGACCAGCATCTCAGGTAAACGGAACAGCAAGTGCAAAGGCCTTAAAGCAGGAGCCTACCTACTGTGTTCTAGCGCCAGTCCAGAGGCCAGCGTGGCTGAGATGGGGCGAGAGAGAATGGGAGAGGAATAGCATAAAAAGTCCAACAAATAAGCACAGAGGGCAGGGGCCCTTCTAGACAATTATGAGGACTTTCGTTTTTAACTCTCTTGAGATAGAAAGGCATTTGAGAATTTTAAACAGAGGAGGGACCTGATGTGACCCACATTTTAACAGGATCCCTCCAGCTCTATGTTGAAAAGAGATTGAAGGCAAGGGCAGAAGCAGGGAGACCAGTCAGGGAGTTTCTCTGGAAAAATTAAACAGAGCCTTTCAGCAGACCTAGGACATCCAGCAATGAGGGTGTGGTGAGAAGCTGGAAAGAGGAGGATTAAGGAAAATTCTACACACCGAATAGGTGGGACTCCGCCTTTACCATTACCCAAGGCTTCTTTGTCTGCCCTGCTTCCAGAAGGCTGATAGCCATGTAGAAGACTGGGGTATTCTATGAGAAACTGAACAGCCTTAGAGAAGGAACTCCAGATGCTGACAGCTGGCCACCCCCTCACCATTCAAAGAAGCCTGGCAGGTAGGCAAGCCATGCACACACACAAGAGCTTCCCATCAGCCTTTGGATGCCTCATGCTTCACTGTGAACAGAAACCCGAGAATCTCTAGACAACTGAGGCAAGTCTCCAACACAGGAAACCAAACCTGAAACAGAGAGGAAAAAACAAGCCCTGAAGATGCAGAGACAATGCCAAAAATTAAAAAAAGAAATTAGTTATAACACCCTCAGTGAAATAGAAGATAATGCATCTGTAAAATAAGAACAGGATGCTATGAAAAAAGAATAGTAATTAGAAAATAAGAAAAAGTTCTTGGAAAGTAGAAATGATAGCCAGAATAAAAATTTCAGAACAAATGTTGAAATACGAAGTCATGAAATTCTTCAGAAAGTAGAACAAAAGATAGGGAGATGAAAAGCTGATGAGAAAATATGAGAGAGGATCAGTCTAAGAGCACCCATGTCTAAGTCATAGTTTCAGCAAGAGAGAAAAGTGGGAAGAGGCATTATCAAAGGAATAAATCAAGAACTTTCTCAGAACCAAGGGACATAAATCTGCATACTGAAAGAGCCCATTGAGTGCCCAGCACAGCAAATGATAAAAGGTCTATCATCATGGCATTTAGAGCACTAGGAATAAAGGGGCGATCCTAACAACTTAGTAAAAGAAAAAGAAAATGAAAAATTGCATGCAAAGGACTGGAAATGGGAAGGACATCAGACTTCCCAACTGGATGCTGGAGGCCCTGCAGCATCTCCATGACAACTCCCTGAGAACTCTACATTCCCAACTTCTGACCAAGTGTGAGGATAAACGAAGATGGTTTTACTACTCGAGAACCCAAACTCTGTACTTTCTCTGCATCCATTCTTAGGAAGCTTCCAGAGAACAGGCATGAGCAAAACGAGAGAATAAACCACAAAGAATGCAGAACCCAGAAATTAGGAGGACCAATACAGAAAAGTAGAAAAGGGAGTCCCAGATGATGATTGAGGGTCAGAGCAGAAAAATGGAAGAAGACTTTGGAAAGGGGGAATACCGGGGTAAAAACTGCATTAATTGAGCATTAGAAATACTTAAGGATTTTGAAAGAAATACTGATAGGTGTATGAGAAACAAAAGAATTTTGGGGAAAATATTTTGAATAGGTACACAGAAAACTATGCAAATGAAAAAAACAAGGCAATTATTAACTAAAGCAAAATAAACTTAAGAAGAAACGTTGTGAACAAAATATATATGATCATACCAGTGAATACAACAAGTGCTGACTTAACTAAAAATTGTGATATATCTCCACTGGAAGGTTTGGCGAGAGGAAGTGACAACAGCAAATATGTAAAATTTCAAATGGAAACATCGAGAAATAATATAATAAGCACTTTGAAGTAAGGCAATAAACACCATGAAAAACAGCTGAATGAGTTGAAAGTGGTTAAGCTGAAGAAAGAGTCTTTCTCCTGATTTCACTGGACCATCATGAGTCACACGAAACATGGGACTCGTGCCCAAGTCACATTAACCAATCACTGTGCCAGAGAGAATACACTAATCGTCCAGTCCCAGATTATGTGCCCATCCTTGAAGTGGGACCCCAAAGGAAACTCAAGGTTCTGTTCCAGAAAGAAGCTAAAGTGGAAGCTGCGCAAGCAAAAACAAGAGATGTCCACTAAAGATGGAGAGCCAATAACAGGATTAGAGCTGATGAATGACAAGATCAGAATTTTGCTTTCAGATGATTAATGTGGAAACAGAGTCCAGGATGGATTTGGGGTTGGGGAAGCCCGGCGTTAGGAGGAATAGTTAGAAGGCTGCTGTGTCATCCAGCTAAGAGACAGGGCAGTGAGAACTGTTCAAAAACAAAATTCAATTGAGAATTCTGAAACATACTAAAAATCATTGAATTGGACCCTTTATATAGACGAACTTTAAGGTATGTGAATGATATGTCAATAAAGATTTTTTTTTTTAAATGGGTAGGAGCAAGAGAGAGGAAGAAATGAAATGCTGCTCCATGGCCTGGGGACTAGAGAGAGAATTCAACTGAGTAAATCTGGAAATCTAATTGGCTGTATTAAACAGTTATGAATCGAGCAGCATACCTCATTAGTGTTGATGAGGAAATTCCAGACTGATTGGCTTAAAATTCCACTCGTGGGAGAGGCTGAACTACAATTAGATTAGGTATTAAGTTGTGGTTGCTGTCCTGAGGTTTAGCACAAGTGACTCAATTTTGGGCCTGTTGTTCCTTTTTTTAACAGAATGGAAAAGAAAGGACTAGCATAAGAAGTTATTACAGAAATAAGCTAATTGTTATGATCACTCACATCAAGAAGATACAGGGAAAGGTATTAGGTGAGAGGAAATTTAGTTATTAATTATTGCCCAGTTAATAAGAATGTGGGAGACTGCCCCTCTCAGAAGCCTGAGACCCAGTCCGTCAAATGGGGCTGTGAGATATCCTGCCCACATTCTCTTGTGCTCCTCTCCTCTCAGGTAAACTGCCAGTCTTAAAACTTACAGTCACTCCTCAGATCTCCTCAGACACCTTCCGATCTATTTGGAAAAATAGCAAGAAATCTTATATTACCCGTAAAAAGAAGAAAAAGGTATGTTCTTGGATGTCTGTATCAGACAGTAGTAGCCATTGGGGGCGCTGTATGGAGCCTGGGCATGCTGCTGGGGTAGAGGGTGCCCTCACAGCAGATTTTGCACTTGATAAAATCATGAGAATTTGGGTTCTAGGTAACAGTCTCCTAAACCATGGTTCCATTCTGACGGATGATGACTGTACCAAAGGACAAGAAATAAGGGAACAACATAGTTCCCTCAAATATTAGTGCAAACCCTGCCTCTTCTCCAACTCCCTCACCCTCCCGGCAAATCTTGGTTCCTAGTGGCCCATTGTGGAGCTGAAATGGTGAATTTACCTGAGCTCTTTATGAAGCATGTGCTGCCTCTTAGGGGGTAATGATTTATGTATGTTTACTCTCTATTAAGTACTACTCTCTTTTTTTAATTTATGATTTACTGTTAACTATTTCACAGGTTAAAAACTGACTATGGATGCCATCTATTTCTATGGCCAACCAGATATGCCTAGAAAGATATTGCTTGTTCTATAATAATATTTTTCACTGTAACCAAGCCCCTTTCAAGTTCTAAAATTTGACAAAACAATTTTATGAAAATTCAAAGAAGTGTTAATCCTATCGTGCTTGTCAACTTCTAAAATGTGAATTTCACAAGTAGGCCTTAGAGAAAATGGGTGGGATTCTCTTCTGGAGCTTCTTCTCTTATACATGTGAAATTTATGATTTGAAGGAAGTCATGTTCTTTATCTAAGACAGAAAGAATCTTCTTTCATAAATATATCTATAGTTGGGAACAATAGTAATTTTTGGAAATAATAACCACTTTATAAAAGACAACATCCCTCCAAATGGGCATCTCCTCCAAATAAGGAAACTTCTGATCACCATACCCCCCATGAAGATGTCAGACAGAAATGGAGGAAGTGTGGTTGATGTATGTATGGATGATAAATTGGATTAGTTGAATTTTATATGCCAGGACAATATGGTGCAGGAATGAAAAGCATGGACTGGGGAGTTAGATGAACAAGAATTCTTTGTGGAAACCAGCTGCTTTCCAAGTATGTGACTTTGGGCAAGTCAATTAACCTCATTGTGCCTCAGTTTCCCTTTATATAAGATACAGATAATAATAGCATCTATCTCATTTGGTTAGCATTGAATGAGAGGACACATGGCAAGCATTTTAGGTCAATACTTGTTTCATAGTACATGCTCACAAATAAATATTAGTGGCTCTGATTATTGCTGTTATTATTGTTGATGTTAGAATTGAGTGATTCCAGTTATTTCTCTTAGGACAGCTACACAAGAAAAATAGAAAAGAAAAAAAGATGAAGACTTAGGACCTCTGTATTTTGAAGTAAAGAAAAAAAAGTCATTCATTCTATGTACAAATGTAACAAGCACTGGCAAGTTCATGAAACCAAACTAACTGTGGGGATGGGTATAGTAAATTATGTCTCCTCTTGAGGATCTTAGCATCTAGCTAGGAAGACAAGATCCTCACACATTAAAAGTAAACAATAATAGAGCATAAGAGTTGAAATAATATGTCATTATCGAGGGTAACAAAGGCTATAGAGTAGTGAGATCAATTTAGCAAATCTCCAGAATTTAAATATCCAATGTGTGAGGCCTCCTGAGAAATTATTCCTGATTTAAAAAAAAAAATTTGGAAAAAAAATGGAAATTTGCCACTGACATCCACTGGGTGAGAGTTTAAAATCTGTTTCTCTTTAGGGGTCTTTTGGCCGTGTCTATCAAAATGAAAAATACATAGCTTTTGACCCAGATATTCTACTTCTAGAAATTTATTTTACAGATACACTCTCACACTGTGCAAAGAAATATACATGAGGATATTCACTGAGGCACTGTTTATTATACACTGGAAACAACTAAATGTTCTCAGAGGATTCTCAGGGAAATAAATCACAGGAAATATATGTGGTGGAATACTATGCAGCCATCAAGAGGAATAATGTAGATATATAAATGCTTATACAGAAAGACAAAGTAATACTGTTAAACAAAAAGAGCAGTCTAGAGAATAGTATATGTGAAAAACTCATATTAAAAGTGAAGTGATGTAATATGAGCCAGCAATTTCACTTCTGAGTATACACACAAAAGAATTGAAAGCGGGATCTTGAAGAGCTATTTGTATATCTATGTTCATAGCAGCATTATGCACAATAGTCAAAGGTGGAAGCAACCCAAATGAATGGATAAACAAAATATGGTCTATACATACAATGGAATATTATTCAGCTTTAAAAAGGAAGGAAATTCTGACACATGCTACAACATGGATGAACCTTCAGGACATCATGCTAAGTGAAATAAACCAGTCACAAAAAGACAAATACTGTTTGATTCCACTTATATGAGATATTGAGAATAGTCAAACTCAGAAACAGAAAGTAGGATGGTGGATGCCAGGGGAAGAGGAGAGGGAAATGGAGAGTTGTTTAAAGGGTATAGAGTTTCAGTTTTGGAAGACGAAAAAGTTCTGGAGATTGGTTGTGTTAACAATGTGAATGTACTTAATACTATTGAACTGTACACTTAAAAATGGCTAGGATGGCAAACTTCATGTTATGTGTATTTTACCAAAATTAAAAATTTTTTTAATGAGCTGATGTACTATGTGTCTGCTTCCACATATATAGGAATTTCTGGAGAGTCCATTAACAGTACTTGCTTTTTTTTTCATTATATACTCATTTTACTATTTTAATGTTTTTATAATTTACGAGCTGTCAGTTAGAAAAAACTTAAAATTGTTTGATAAACATCAGTAGCAGCATTTTTTAGTTGCTATGTGACCTGGTGCCAAAAGAGAGATGTGCTATGATTTCCTGGAAGGACATGAATAAATGGTGACAAAGAATGGTCGGTGAGAACACAAAGATGAGTAAGTTTTTCCTAAGTGCGGAGGGCAATTTCAGAAATGCTAAAATGTGAGAAAAAAACAAAAAATACAGAGCAGGCTGTGTTTGGATGACTGAGCAGACCAATTTGATGAGGATCTCGGAGAGGAGTGTTTGGGAAAGACACTAGAAAAGTAGGTTGAGGCCATATTGTGGCAGGATTTAAATGACCAACTGGGTCACTGAGATTTTATTCTGATGATAATGCGGAGCCATGGAACATTCTAAGCAAGAGAGTGCCAGGTGGAAAAGGAGGTAGAGGAAAATTAAACAGGCACGTTAGATTGAAAGGCAGTTAGACCGGGGAGGAGAGACAGGAAGGAACTGAGCACTCAATAATCCAGGGGCAGGGTGATGAGGTTCAGACTCCGCCGGGGCAGGTACCATTCCTCGCTCTTAACCATCCTCTAGCCTTTCTTCTGAGTTCCCTTCCCTTTCTCTTTCAAACAGCCCGGTTCCCACCAGCTGGGTGCATTTTATCCTCATCTGGTACCTGCCTTCTTTCTTTATTAGCCGTCTAGCATGTGGAGCCATCTCTAGTCAGATGTGTGGTCACTTAATACAAACAAAACATGTGTTCTGTATGGTTCAGCTGGGTTTGTTTATTGGCATTTCTGTCTGGCTCACAAAGTTAGCGTGGTCAGATTCACATCCGCCACCACTGCTACTGCTCTGCGCTGGCTGACAGCTCGTAGAGCTTTGCTTTCTTCACTCATTTCCTGGCCTCCAGGACCTCCCATCTCCCCCGGAGTTCAAACTTCACCTCTTCCATAAGGCTCTCCCTCACTGCGTCAGTCCTCAGGAATGTCTCTGTCCCTCACAGCATTTAACACACCATTCGACAGACAGCACACATTAGCATCTAGTCAAATGTGACCCTGTGTCCATATTTATATTTTTACACATTTATGCCAGGAAGAAGGACCTGACCACACACTTCCAAAAAAACTGGCTGTGAAAACCCTGTGTACGGCAGCGGAGCATTGTCTGATACAGCTCCGGAAGGTGAGAGGCGCAAAAGACTGGGCAGGTTCCGCTCTGCTGCGCACACGGTCATTAGGAGTCAGAATCGACTCCACGGCACTAATAACAAACACATTTAAGCATCCTTGTCTCCTCTGCCAGACTCCTTGAGTTTGGTTGGCCCCTCCAGGCACAGGGCCTGGCATCAGGAGATGAGGGGATGCCGAGGCCCGGTAAGAAGAGACGGGAGGCTCTGAATTCCGAATCTGACACAGCAGGTGTCCACCACTAGGTGGCGGCGGTAATCGGGCATCTCCTTAGGCTCACTGTGCCTCAGTTTTCTCGTCTTCTAAATGGAGATGTTGTCTGCTTTGCTTGAGAAAATATAATAGGAAATCTGACACTGGGCTAGGAAAAGAACAACCCTGGCCTCAAAACACTGTAACCTCCACCTAATAGCAGTGTGCTCTTTACTGGACGCCATTACTCCTACATATAAAAGGAGAAGGTTAAACTAGATCAGAGGTGCTCAGTATGGTCCCCAGGGTTCCTGCGAGCCTTGACCAAGGAGGTCAAAACTGTTTGCATAATTCAGAGCTGTTTCTTTCCACTCTCTCATATGAGTATACAGTGGAGTTTTCCAGAAGTTCCACGATACGTGACGTTACTGTTCTAATAATGACTTGTAATTGGATGATTACTATTATTTTTAAACGAACACGTTTTAAATTTTTCCTCCATTTTAAGTTTTCCTTTAAATTATACATATATATAGGATATATATATATATAATATACATAATATATAACATAAAAGTTCTTTAAGGTCCTAAGAATGTTTTAGTGTGAAGGGGTCCTGAGACCAAAAAGTTTGCGAACCACTGAAGCGGATTTCTAGAAGATTCACTCAACAAATAAGTGCGCCCCCGAGGCCAGGCATTTTTCAGATACCGAGGATAAAGTGGTGATAAAGACGTGGTTCCCGCTCTGATGGGGTTTACCTTTGGGAGGGACGAGACAAACGAATACATTAACAAGATAATTTATGAGAGCGGTGAGTCTCCTGAAGGCTAAAGCAGGACACGTGCTCCTGCGCAGAGTGCGCCCGCTCGCCCGGGAGTGACACTACCCGACGCGACGCGTCGCCTTCACCCGGAGCCGCCGGGCGGCCCGCGACCCTCATCCCTCTGCCCTGCCGGCAGCGCCTGCGCGCGGGGGGCGGGGATGCGCCGGCGCTGCCGTGCGGTGACGTCACTGGGCCGCGCCAGCCAATCGCGGGCAGCCCCTGTCGTAGGCCCCGCGGGCCGGCGGGCGGCGCTGTGGGCCGTCGGG